TAAATGCAATAAACTATATTAAAAATAAATAGTTTGAATATGAAAGTGCAACAATAAGTAAAATGTGACATGCCTAAAGATGTTTTATTTTAAATAATAAAATTAAATGTTGAAATAAATGCTTGTGATCGCGCTACAAGACAATATTCAAAGCAAAAACGGCAAAAATAAATAATCAAAACAAAAATAATAATAAAAAAGAAATAAAAACAATAGCAATAATAATAATGCGAACAAAAAATTAAATAAAATGTTTATTAACAAAAAAGTAAATACAATAATAATAATAATAAAATAAATAATAATAAACTGAATGATAAAAATAACGCAATAAAATAATAAAAATATAAAAGTTAAAAACATTTACTTCTGCTGCAAGATATAATATCCATCCCAGGCGCATTTTTAAATCATAAAACGGTATAAAAATCTCTTTATATTGATTTTAATCGATTAGTTTGAATGGCAACTACAGTGTTTTCCAAAAAGAGTGATATGATTTCATTAAAAAAAACACACACAATTGTTAAGAAAATTCAAATGTCTTTTTATTTTACGTGAAGCGTAAACGATACAATTAAGCTCTGAATAAAACAACACTCAAGTGACTTTCACCGCTTTTTTTTTTGCAGGAAAGACTTCTTTGAACCCAATTTTCGAGTACTTTTTCCATGAAATCAGCTAGAAAAGACTCTAATTTATTGCTAAAGACCAATGACTGCATATAACCCCACAAAAAGTACTCTAATGGTGTTGAATCAGAACTTCTTTTAGGTCATTTAATGTTAACATCTCTAGAAATAATCGAATCTCCAAATTTTTCTTTCAATAATACGGTTGTTGCACACTGCTGTGTGGCACGCAGCCCCGTCGTATTGAAACCAGATGTTGTCAAGATCAACTTCTTACATTTGCGGCCATAAAAAATACTAAACAATAATCGATCTATATCGTTCTCCATTGATAGTAACGATGTCATCATCTTCATTGCGAAAGAAGTACGGACCGATGATAGATAAATTGTACACAATTTTCCTGACATTTTATTTATATGAAAACCTGTCCGTTTACTGGAGATAATTTGAACTAAATTTCACCAAAATAGTGTCCATGTCCGCTCATTAGAACATATTCACGTCTGATTTATAGGAATTGTTTTTGTATGATAATATTAATGAAAACGTTGTGTTCATGAAATATTAAGTTATGGAAGCTGTGGTTATAGGAATTGTTTTTGTATGATAATATTAATGAAAACGTTGTGTTCATGAAATTTGTGCGGTTATGGAAGCTGTCCGGCTATGAGGACTGTCGTAGTGCGAAATTTCACTGTAAGCCCCTTTCTTTCAAAAAATTTTCTCACTGCACTTGAATTAGTTTTTCACCATACTGACTTTAACGGTTACGCACCACCCACTTCTAGAAGAAAAACAAATTATTTTACAACCCTCTCAAGTACAATACAATTTCTTTATACTACTGCTATATTTACTATACATAAATGTATGTATGTATTTATTTGTACATTCATATAATAGATAAAAGCATCCCTGCTGTGCTGCAACGCAAACTCACAGACTTTCTAAATCACTTTTTTTGCTGCTGTCATTGATTGTTAGAGGACGAAGGTTAAATAAAATGTTTACTGACAAGCTTTTATGTTCTTACAAAAGTATATATGTACATACATATATGTATATCTTTGTAAATAAATTATTTTTGTACAAGCTTTAAATTTTACGAGTTAGACGACGCATATACCTGTTTGGGTTGAGGAGAAAGCGGGATCACAAATATTTAAGAGTCTTTATATAAACAATTTCTCTAATTTTATTAGTAAAAATAGTTTTTTGTCGAACTAAAAATGGTAAAAAATATTAGTATAGACTCTTCTTAAAAATTAATTAGTATTTGTTTAAGAAAAAAATATTTTTCTGTCGTAGCAGAAARTAGAACCTTTTCCGAACAATTATATCTTTACATACATATATAAAATCTATCTAAATTTCCTGCACATTTTAGTTCGTCAAAAAATTTTCTATTTTTTAAATCGACAATGTTAAATGAAATCATTTTTAATTCAAATATTTTTTTTTAACATATTTTTCACCACAATCCTCTGCTCTGCTTATTCAAAGTCCAATTTAACCTCTAATCCTATTTTCACCCTGTTCTAAGCGTCTACCTTTGTACTTCTGTCGTTCTGTACAAAACTGAGCATCACTTACATACATGTCTACTGAGTATGTACATATAAATCTAGAAAATACACTTTAAAGCTTCGCAAAGAACTCTCCACTCGTCCCACCAGCTGCGCTGGCTTGGAAAAACTAGTTTTTCTATTATTTACACTCGCGAATAATTGTTGTCGAACCAGTCTTCTTGCCGTCGGCGCACGGTGTAATGACCAAATGCCTCATCTAAGTGCATATTTACATACTTTTAGTCTTGTACATATATATAGTGGTCTACACAAAGCGTATTGTTGTCTGTCTGAAGGCAGGAAAATAAAGTTTGCAATTTTATTGCAGTTTTATTCGCTTCTGGTGGTTAAAAGAAGCACGTGAATCGTTTTTTTTTTAGTAGACTGAACTTGATTTAGTTGAAGTCAAAAGTTAGGTTAGAAATAAAGGAAAATCATTGACTGATAGAGGAACCAGCTTATAGTCCTAGTGCGGCAGATTTCAGACCCTTTCATCAATCAAAGTTGTTACAGCAATGCGATTTTCGGTTGGCTAACTTGTTTAGAAAACTATGAAAAGTTGGAGCTAGCAATCTCGGCTCTCAGTACGCTCCTTGCCTCACATATAATCGTATGTAGTTCTATGTTGAACGAGTGATTGAAGTATGTTTCGGGTTCTTTTAGACATTTTCTTAACTTTAGCAAGATTATACATGACTCACAATGCATCAGTTGGTTTCAAATTTTGCTAGAGTAAAMATTTTTTAAAACGYTTGCMGTGGTCGTCATCAAAARGTGGGTCTCTCATCCGCRGCTGTTTTGATCTTTCCTGGCTAGTTCATGCCGTTCGATGGATGGATGAAAACACTCCAGCTCTGAGAGTATTCGACGCAGTACCCTTCGGAGGAAGCAGAGGAAGAGGAAGACATCTTCTCCGTTGGAAAGAGTAGGTTAAAAAGGACCTGCCTACAATTAGAATATCTATTTGCGCCAATCGAACTGTTGTAAATTCGGCTAAACTTGGTCCGAATGCTCTCATATAATGCTATGTGAGAACGATAGACATCAGAAACGTAGCAAACTGTCAAAATTTCGTAGTAAACGTAAAGAAAATCTTCCATCTCTTCTTCTAAGTTATTGCTGCACTTGCCCAGGAGAGGTTTTCTGTTTCTGTCGAACGCACTCGGGGAGAAAAAGTAAAAGTAAAGTAAATAGACGACCTGACAGAYCTTGTAGTCTCTATTACTTTCATTMTAACTGCTATGGCTCATTTGAAAGAACATTCTTTGGCATTTATTTTTTGAAGATTATCTTTTTCATATGTTGGCCGCGGGTACCTCTCAGAGGCTTTATCCGTTGAGTCGAATTTTCGATGACACGTTCTAGCATTTCGATTAGTAACTGGCGATTGACCCACGTGA